TTTGAGCCTTTAAATCCATGTGTGTCCAGAATTATCTGCGTTTGAATGTTAAAATGACGACTCAACAATTTAAGATAATCTGTGATATATAGAAAAGACATAAGTATTTTAAAGGAATTATATGATTATCATACATTTCTAGTACTTCTGAAGACTACATATATTCAAGAATAAAATCAACCCCCAAAATGGAACATCTGTCCCTTTAAGAGTAAAGAAGTTAGAAAAAAGAATGAAATCAATAATGACCATTTTGTAATTTCCCATAAGGATAGTCAAACTTACCCCCATATAACAAATTTTTTCTCTCTTTTATGCGAGGTATTACCACTTAAACTGTTTTTGTTTTTTTTTGGTGATCAAACATTCAGATATTCATATGATGCCATCAACCATAGAAAACTTTACTATTGTCCATATTTCCTTCCTATAAGCCTTGTCATAATGTTACTGCAAATCAAATCTAGTCCCTATACTCATTTGATTTTTATTGGATACTTTTCATTTAGGTTTAGATTATTAAAATCTACATCTAAACCTATTACCTCAAATTAAGGCTTCCCTTTTTAATCCTGTTGCCTTGGTGATAAAACATTTCTCTTTCTGCAAATTTTTTGCTCCATTTTGAAGAAGACTCATTCTTTCTAAGATATAGTAGTTTAGAGATTTTTGTAGCCTATAGGTATTTTAAGCGTGGTAAGGTATTTCAGATTGAAACCAGCAGTCAACTGTTATCTCTATACAAGTGATTTCTGCAAAAAATAATGGCAACATTCAAAATTTATCAGACATTCTTTAAAACTAACATTTTTTAACTTTTCTATCTTTACCTTCTAAAACTTGTGATAAGCAAATTTCAAAATCTGTGTAAGGTGGATGAAAAACAGATTTGAAGAGGAAAATTGTCTTGAAAATTAAACATAGCGATAAATCTAAGTGTTGTTTGGTGATAAGAAATTGGCAATGTTTTGGAAAATTAGTCTTAAATTGAAACTTTTTAGGTGCAGATATAAAATATCTGATTAGAAAAGCACACCTTGTTATCGAAATTTTAAGAGTTTCACCTGAATTTTTGTATCAAAGGCATGAAGATAATCTACATTTATTTCTTAACTAACACAAGTTTTGTTTTTCATAAAATTTCAAGGGTGTTTTTATCAAATATATTTTAACAGGTTTTTCAAATCTTTCTATTTTCAGCCTGTCAATTATATTCAAGTTGAAGATATGTTACAAGTGCCTGAAAATTTTCGTCGTTATGTCAAACGAGAACGCTGTGATGTTTGTGAAACTCCCATCAGACAACTGAAACAGGAAGCTGTCGTTATGATCCAATCCATCCAACAAGCCCAGAGTGCCTCATCTCATCCTGCTAATATTTCTGCTTTAGTTGGTTCTTATAATATTGGTGCTCATCATCCACATCAACGTCAACCTATCAGGTAGGTTATTGTCTAATGTCCTCCATTTTAATTTATATCAATGTGGAATGGATTCACACCATCTTGTGAATAAGTCAAATTAATTAACAATTTAAAGGGCATGCATAGTTAATATTGAAGATTGAAAAAGAAGATTTTAGCTCATTGATTTTGCTATGTATTTTCTCTTTCTGTTTTTGACATAAGGAAAAAGGTGTGAAATTTTTCATAAAAATTTACTGTGGTCACTTTTTCGTGTTACAAAGATGAATATCTATATGATAATGATTTCCTAAATTCTTTAATTTGGCTGTGGCAATCAACTTGGCTGTGGCAATCCCAAATGTCTGAATAACTTAAGCTCTTAACATTAGATTTCTCTAGACTAATGGGAGATAACTCTAGATGGCTTGGAATAGAAGTTACTTGTTAACAGAATGTAAATGAACTACCCCAGAATATCTTGTGCAAAGAAATAAAGAATAAAAGCAAGAAAGATTTAGTTTTTTATCTTGAAATGTAGAGATATATTTTGATATATTTGAATGAATTATATCACATATAAAATGATCTGTCATAGTGTGATCTCTTCAAATTCACATTGATAGAAAACTTCAGATGGCTAATAATATCCTAATAAACAGAATAATGCATAAACAAAGTCATTTCTTCATGTAACAAAAAATCTTCTAATAAATAAATTGCAGATTTTTCAATAAATGTGACACTTAAGCACTATACTTGAACCAATAGTTCTACAAATTATCTTAATGTTTATATTTGATTAACTCTTGTCAATCAGTAAAAAATATGAAGAAATCTATTTAGACTAACTTATTAGAGCTGTAGATGAATATGATTGTCAAAAGCAGCAAAACCGCACACAAGTTTATTATGGAAAGGGAAGCAACTAGTGCTTAGATGTGTATTATCATCAACAGTTAATGCCTTTTCCGACTCCTTATTGATAAAATATTGATATGGATCAATAACTATAACTGACAGAGAGACTGTTTAATTCCCTCTCTGAAATCTGAACACATTTGAAACTTCCTAACTTGTCCGAACTCCTTTTTATTTTTAACTTGTGTTTCTGACTTTTTCTTCTTCTTGGATATGTAAGAGAAGTGAATATTAAGTTTGATATATTAATTAAAGGTAAATTGTTTTTGTTATCTAACTATATTGATGAAGGTGACTTCTGTTTCTGTTTCAGATTTTTGGCCAGATCTACCAAAAGCGTACAGTTTGCTAATTCATCTACAACTGGAATACCATTGGCAGCACAAGCTCAAGCCTACCTTGAACAAAATCAAAATGCACGCAATTGGATTAAGTCACCAAAACATCACAATCCAGTAAGTTTCTTGTTTTATTTTCATGTTTTTCAATCATGTCATGTATTCTGGATGACAAGTATAGTTGTGAATTGTCAGTGACACCTAGTAGAGGTACAGGAGGGGCAAATAACAAAATTCAATTTTTTATACATTTTTGTTCAAAAAAAAAGCATCAGAATGCACCCATACGAAACTATGTATGGTTCTTACATGGAAATAACTCATACGAATGTACAGCCTGTAGCACATGGGGCCTCGGTTTATTGTCCCATCCAAACAACTAGATGCTTTTTCCATGTCAGCCCCTTTTACCTGCATCACTGACAGGGGGAAACCTGGTTGAAAAATCCGAAGGTATTATCTCAACCTATGCCAGAATTGAACCCTGGACCTTCAGGTTAGCGAGCAAGCGTCTAACTCACTGAGCCATCGCGGCTCCCTAATCATGTTTAAAGGAGCATTATATCTTTTGTGAATTTTTGTTTACATACTCTTTCTTAAATGACCGACAAGATGATAGCTTCGCTGTAAAAAACTTTGATGGACGTGACATTAATGGTTTAAGGGAATAATGATGGTATGGCTGAACTACAAAAATATCCATCTTTTCCAAATATATCTGGGTTCTGATTTTAAAAAAATTGTCTGGTGTACCTTTAAACACTAGACATAGAATTCCCAGCAGGACAACCTAATTTAATCAATTTAAAGAACTGAATTATATCAATTGAATTTTCTAGTCTACAATCTCCTGTTGTCTTCTTCTAATCTTTATTTTTTCACGCATTATCTGATAGAGTTGGCGTCAGTATTAATCCATAATGATATATAGAAGAGATTAAGGTAATCTGCTATAATTGTGTTAAGATATACCTATCTATTTCTATTATACTTATGAGAGTTTTTATTTTATATTGCTCTATTCTACTCTTTAAGATAACAAAATTTATCTGAAGCAATTGATCTGTTCTGGTTTCTGTTTGAATCAAACAAATTTCTACCAGATTGTGAAGGCTTGATTTTAATAACATTTATAGTATTTGTAGCAAGACAGATATTTATATTCAAAGCACTTCTAAAACATATGACATTGGAGACTTTCATATTTGAATCATTTTTTGGAATTGACAATGGTTGTATTCAAGCGCTTCTGACATTGAATTCTGTTTACATGCGGCTCCAATTGAAATTATATTTTATTTCATTAGTATAAAGTATTCATTGAGCATTTTTGACAAAAGATGATTATGATGTATGATGTAGGATTATCTATACAGTAGAAAATAGAACAAGTGAACACATGACGTATGGATCAGGACACACTTCTACTATTTTCTACTGTATTGATAATCTTGCACCATACACCATACCTTGTCAATTCCCACCTTTATGGGTATAAACTATATATAAGGTGATTTTTGTCCCCGACTGAAATCTTGAGTAAAATCTCGCCTTTGCTTCCACAAGATTATCGTATGCCAACAGGATTTATAATATCAAACAAGTTTTATCATCTGCAAGACAGACCGTCATCATCCAATCAGATTTCTTTTCCTTTTCGTCAAGGTGGAAAATGACTGACTAGGATTTTTGACTTGTGTGCATGTGCCAGTTTTCGAAGCTCAAGATAAAAGTCTCTGACCAAGACCGCTCGTGTGCTCACACTTTAAGAGAACATCCCTTTTTCACTTCAGGAGATAATTGTTATCATAAAATCTTCAAATGCCCCTCGCAGTTAGAAATGTTTCATATAATCTAACTTCAATCAGAGTTTATTTTGAAATCCGAATCCAATGTACTGAATAACTGGGAGTTGTGGGTGGTAAATAGGATCACACAGTTAATCTGAAATAATCTAATGGATTAAGAAGGATTATTTCTACCTGTATTATTTACACCTGATCTACTTTGTTTATTTACCTTTAATTTTTTCAGTAATTTATGTACTAGTTTAACTATTACTAGTTAACTAATATCGTACTATTTCTTTAGTTTAAGTGTGAAATGTTGATTTTTGGAATTACTCTTCAGTTTTATTGATTTCACACATTATGTTGGACTTTTGAAGGTTTTTTTTGTTCAAGTATTCTCTACATTTTGTGGGAATTCCCTAATATATGATGTTTTCATCTCTAGAACATTTATTTGCCTTTATTTATTCCATTTTTATTTGCCATAGTGGTACTACTTCTGGCATTGAATATTGAGGAAACTCTGGCATGAAAAAACCAGGAAACTTTTAGCACGAGCTGTCCAGAAAACTTTTAGGACTGTCTAGGAAACTTTTAGGACTGGCAAGGAAACTTTTAGGACTGTCTAGGAAACTTTTAGGACTGTCTAGGAAACTTTTAGGACTGTCCAGAAAACTTTTAGGACTGTCTAGGAAACTTTTAGGACTGTCCAGAAAACTTTTAGGACTGTCTAGGAAACTTTTAGGACTGTCCAGGAAACTTTTAGCGCGAGCTGTCCATGAAACTTTTAGCACAAGCTGTTCAGAAAACTTTTAGGACTGTCCAGAAAACTTTTAGGACTGTCCAGGAAACTTTTAGGACTGTCTAGGAAACTTTTAGGACTGTCCAGAAAACTTTTAGGACTGTCTAGGAAACTTTTAGGACTGTCCAGAAAACTTTTAGGACTGTCTAGGAAACTTTTAGGACTGTCCAGGAAACTTTTAGGACTGTCCAGGAAACTTTTAGGACTGTCCAGGAAACTTTTAGCGCGAGCTGTCCAGATTCCAGAAAACTTTTAGGACTGTCCAGGAAACTTTTAGCGCGAGCTGTCCAGATTCCAGAAAACTTTTAGCACGAGCTGTCCAGGAAACTTTTAGGACTGTCCAGGAAACTTTTAGCACGAGCTGTCCAGGAAACTGCTGGTATGAAATATCTAGGAAAGTGCAGGAATGAAATATCTAGGAAACTGCTGGGATGAAATATCCAGGAAACTTCTGGCATGAAATATTTGTGAATCGATTGAGCACAATTGAGTTTGTCAAGATATACATCATAGTTGTGTATAGTAACTTAACAATATTTGACAGCTTTGACACATTAGACTATTTATAAATTACTCCATATTGTGTTATTTAAAAGGCCTTAAATGAATACTATCTCTTAGAATGGATATAATATTTAAAGTCTAAACTTGGTCAATAAGAGAATATATTGGACTTACTAGGTGTCATAACTATACAACAGAATCCCCCTATAATCCAATATATTATTAACTAGTTTTATGAATATATTGGATTATAGAGGGATTCTGTTGTATAGTTATGACACCAGGTAAGTCCACTGATAAACAAAGACTTATTTTGCCCAAGTTTAAAGGTTTCAATTTTTTGGTCATCCTAAGAAGTGCCGGTAGTAAGCTTTTGAATGCTACAGATAATAATGTCAATATGTTGTTCTATCAAGGCTAATTATTGTAATTTTATGATTAAAATGTAACATCAATGAATTGTTGGTTCTTGCCCAAGGCAGGGGAGTATGTCATCCATTTGCTAAGTGACTATGATAAGCTCCGAGTGCTACTTGTAGAAAACTTGTCAGTAAAAGGATTGAACGGGGCTTTTCACTAGCTGGCATTTTATTTGTCAACATATTGAAAGTATTATAGCCGTAGGCCAGGAAATATTGATGCTTATACCTTCATCTTAATAGAATCTTTCAATAGAAATAATTTAATGGATGAGTGGAAGAGTTTTCAGTGAATGAATTAATGAATGAATAGATAATATATTAAATAATAATTACATGTACAATGAAATAAATAAAATTAGGAGTAGGGAATTAATTTTAAATACACCAGCACTAGCCGTGTCATGACAGACTTTGAAGGTTAAAATAGAACTTGCTGTATACAACCTTGATGCAGACAGTCATTCATTCATTTATGTTTCCATGTCTGCCAAGATAAAAACAATTCTTATATGGCTGAATTTTAAAACATGGAATTTAAACAATGTGATTTATTTTGATTTGAAGTTCTTTAATGATTGATAAACATGATCAAATTGATGATCTACTATTAAATAATACTGACGAGGGTACTATTTATGATGTCTGGTGTCCCTGATGATCATGCAGTCAGTTGTAAAAGTGGTCTAAAATAATTCTTATCATATGGAATCCCAACCAGACCTTCTTTAAAGGGTATTCCTACCTCTATTTAAATGAAATGCATTAAGGAGCATCAGCACCAAACGGGCTATATAGCTCCAGAATACATTAAAATAATGAAAAAACTAAAACAATAAAACACCTATCAATATCACAGAAAGGTCATATAGTGACAACAAAAAGCAAAAATAAACGATAAAAACCATATCACAGAAACAGTCATTTAATGACTACAAAAGAAAACACTAAAAACAATATTACAGGTAATACACCACATGGTGGTATTAAAAACAAACAAAATATTTAAAACAAACAATGACTAATCTATTTAAAATTTAAAATAAACACCGGCTTTTTTTAAAAAAGCCACAACCTTCTCATAAAGAGAAGGTTGCGCAAATAACCTCTGTTTAAAAATCATATTGCAACTTGCTAGTGATAGAACTATGCTACAATGCTTGTTAAATCATGAGGTTGTTTTCCCTTGCTGGCATCTTCACAATTGACGGCAAAAGCCACTTTGTATCACGTACGTTTGTAAATGCTGTGTTTTGATTGGATTGTACACTATCGTAAACAGCCTATCAGTGCCTGCCCCAGACAGATGCTCTGTAAACAATAAGCCATATTTTTTACAGCCTGTCTATGAGGACTATGTTTGGTTGTTTTTGCTGGTGTACAATCCAATCAAATTGCTGCATTTCATGATACAAGAAAGGTGCTATTGCAGTCAATTGTGTAGATGCCATGTTGGATGACGTGTATGTTGATATTCCACAGTATTTTATAAATTGAGATATATTGTAAATAGTATATCTGGTGTTATATGAATATTCATTGAGTATAATTAATGGTGATAATTTGACTTGGTTATAAAACCTTAGAAAAGGTCATACCAATACAGTACATAGTATAAAATACCAATAAAACTAAATACTTACCACAGGTGTTAATCACCATATTATAACACTTTATTATATTATTTTAATGGTGTTAAACCTATTAGCTCTAGTAATTGTGTGAAAAAATATCTACCTTCTGCCAGTGATGCAGATTGGAAGGGCTCACAAGAAAAAAATGGCTGGTCGTTCAACATAAACCAATGCTTTGTCTGTACATGTTAAAGATCATCCCTGGACAGATGAAAATTGAAAAAGAGTAAGCTAATGCTAATGTGCTGGTATAAATTTCCCTCATTGCTTACTGAATGGCTTTTGCTATCTTCATGTGCAGAAAAGCATGATGTAAAAGTCCATACCATTAACGGAAGGGCTCTTAATAAAAATTTATTTATTATAACTGGAAGAGAGTGGTGCTATTTTATCATTCTGTATAACCATGTTTCCACTGAGAATTGTAAAGTTAGCTTAGAGTCAGGTTTATTGCAGAACGTGTTTTGTTTACACTGAGTTTAACTGGTTCCTGACTTTAGCCTCGTTCAAAAACATCACAGTATTGACAACTCACCATATTTACGCTTCCTGTGAAATGCAATAAGAGAGGATTTCAGCAATTTGCCCAGTAGAAACAAGAAAGCTAGCTTAAAGCCGGCAATTCGTTCCTTTTTTTGATGCATTGCATTTGATAAAAATAATCGTGATGTATCGGTACAATTAATTCTTTGCCCCCTTTAATAACAAATAACACAGAAATTGTGTCATGTTTTTTTATATGATTTTCATATTAAAATTTGCAAAAATTAATGACTTTAAAAATTGAGATTTTTTTCACAATTCCTTACTTTAAAATGTTCTCAAGTGCTTAATAGTGACAAAATTGTTAGTAATCTTACAACTTTATACTATTTTTTCTCTTTTCTTCTCTAATAAATTTATCGCAATAAAATGTGTTGTTGGATGAGTATCAAATCGCTACTTCAAGAATTGTTGCAGCCCTACTGCTGTTGTATAAGACTTCAGTGCTCCTTGCCGCCTCCTAAATAAGTTGATTTTTCAATTATAGTATTCAAAATACACAACGGTTGACGCCGACTCTCGAAATCACTGGCACAAGCATCAGAATTTGTCGCAGCTTGAGGAGGATTGGAACCCACGGCACCTCAGCGCCAAGCAGAAGACAATCCAACTCGCTACTGACTGAGCTATAAGATTAAGACCTATGATATTGTAATAAAACTTTATTTAATACCAGGTGGTAACTATAGTGTTATAGTACAGTTGTTATTATTGTTAAATCAATGCATGTTTTATTTTATACATCAACTGATGTTATGATGATATCTCTCTGAGATGTCTAAAGGCCATGCTGTAAATGTGACATATTAATTGACACTGTTTATATTAATGATCTATGCATGTGGCAATCAGAGAGTAATACAATATTTGATTATTTTAGCTATTATATCAGTTGTTTGGTTCATTCATAAAATAAGATAGGCATCAACTGTTCTGTTATTCTGTATTTTGAAGAGATTGTTAATAGTTTTGACTATTTATTTAGCAATGGGGACACAAACATATGTTTTGAATCAATTTTCCTTTACTCCAAATATATAACTGGAAATACATTATATTATAATGCTTATTTAAAAGCAGAAATGAAAAAGAAGTAACACGGCAAGTATTTCATGAACATTACCAAGGGTTGAATGTTAGACAGGACCATGGCACTTTAGTGTAAAAATAAACATTTTGTTATTCTCATTTGTATACTATCAAATATCACACTCGGGAAAGGATGTAAAACTCCAATTGTTAAAATGCCTTACTGCATGAACTTTCAAAGTTACCAGTCATAATTTTTTAATTTTTTTTACATTTTATCCATTTCAGTAAAAAAGGGACTTATTTAAAATAGGTGCTTTTAAGTATAACAGTTACACATGAATGAGAAAATAAAACTGTTAACAGTCTCTTTAATATAACTAGTTACATTGTTCATTATATTATAACAATTAATCTCAATCTAACTCTATCTTTATAATAATACTCTTTAATGTTTTAAATTTCTGTCAGAAAAACCTTTTCCTTGTTTTTTCCTTCCCTTCAATCACATAATGTTATTAAAATATCAAATTTCAATTAACTCAAATTTTAAAATAGGCTGATGCAATTGAAAGAGTAGTGGATCTTTGATTTAGGTATGCCCTTGAAAATAAGTTACAAGAACAAACAAAGTTCAAAATTCAAACTTGACAAAAACTTTTGCAAATTATCAGTATTAGTAAGGAGTTTATAAAAAAATTAACACATAGTTGAAGGATGTAATTAGTCATTCCTAATGAGGAAACAATAACTTATCAATAAAGTATTTCAATTGCATAATATAAGCTAACAAAGAGTAGATCTTATTTCAGCTTAGATTTAAGTTTCGCCCATGTTTACAACTTGTGAGAAATACATTACAGTGAAATCTGAGATCTTATAGAAACAATAGTTATTATTTTATATAACAGGCAGTTAAATCATAACAGTTTAATATAACCTAAAGGGTGTGGTAGTGTGAATAACTGACATGTAATTTGTAAGAGGATCGTTATTGATGATCAGATTAATTCCTGATTTCCGTGGCAGTGAAGGACAGAACTCGTGTCTCGACTATTATTTAATGATTTTGAAGGAGAGATGA